TTAAAAAAAAATTTAGAAAGTTGAAGGTTTATAAAATCAGGTAAAACTGCATGTATCAAGCGTAAACTATAAGGAAACAGGAATAACTGTACAAACAGCACGATCAGAAATGCGGAAGACAAATGTACACGAAGGGCAAATATACAGACGCATCTACAGTAAACAGGGCCAGGAGTGATGGTAAAAATTTTCCTCTTTTTATATTTTTTCACTGTATCTATAATAAATCTGTAGTTTCTTTAAAATGGAAAAAATAATCTTTTTTAAGAGAGAGAAAAAATGATTTCGCATATTTCTATTTATTTTTGCCCCTGAAAAAAGGAAGAGAATTGTGGAGAGAGACAGAGGAAGGTGAAGAAGAGGTCTGGGATGGGGAAGGCTCAGGAAGTTTTGTGCAAGAAGCAGAAGTGAGAACAAAAAGGCAGGTTACGCGGACAGTAAGAAATGGGGAGGCGAGCAGAAAATGAAGTCAAATCAGGCAGAGACCACTTAGGTTCCACACACTTGAATGGGATGACATGAAGCTGTTCCGGCATCAGAAGTGCTGATAGGGGGCGCCTGGGTGGCTCGGCGGGTTAAGCCTCTACCTTCGGCTCAGGTCATGATTTCAGGGTCCTGGGATCAAGCCCCACATCGGGCTCTCTGCTTGGTGGGGAGCCTGCTTACCCCCACTCCCACTCTCTGTCTGCTTCTCTGCCTACTTGTGATCTCTGTCCAATAAATAAATAAAATCTTAAAAAAAAAAAGTGCTGATAAGGGTGGCAGCTGATCACAACCCCAAGAGCGAGGAGGGCAGCTTGCCCCATTCACGCTGCACCTGGAGAGCCTGAGAATGCACCAGGGAGCTCGTGTGGTTCCCAGGAGTGTGTGGCCTTCCCCGGTTCCCCCCCACCCACCAAAGCCTGCGATGGTGCCCGAGAGGAGGCCCCAGAGGAGGCCTGGGAGGCTGGGGACCAGCACCGCTCAGCTGCAGGGTGCAGGACAGGCCCTGACCGTTCCCATGCGAGTGACAGAGGACGACTGACAGCAGGAGAGGCAACAAGGCCCTTCTGTCCTCACTCGGTGCTTTCCTGTCCCGCTGAACCGCTACCCCAGGGCCGCCCAAACATAGCCCTTGTCCTCTGGGGGCTCTTCCCAGCTTGGGAGGATCAAGGCACTAAAAACACCGTGTCACCCTGTGCAGTGTCCTGCTCTGATGAAACCCCCTCTGTTCCAAGGTTTGCAAACCTACGGTCACCATGGAGACCACAGACCCTCACTCTAAACCGAGCCCCGGATTAACTCCTGCAGCTGAGATGAGAGCTGGAAACAGCCAAAGTTATTTCCCCCGTCGGCCTCGGGCTGTCTGGATCCAGGCCCAGGGTAAGTGGTTTGTTTTTTCTCCCCTTTTGGAGTTTGCTACAACAGAAAAAACTTTCTTGCAGGAAGCTAAGAACACTGAAGAATTCTCAAATACTTCTGCGGTTTTTTGTTTTCTTAGGTTTTTTTTTTTTTTAAGGGAATCCTGAAGAGCAGGACCGGGACCACGAGCGGGTGCGCTCTGGTTTGTGCACGTGCTCCCCGCAGGGAAGCTCTGGCGAGCGGAACAGGCCAACCCCGGCAACACAGCCCGGCAGCCCCCGCTGCAGGCCCGTCCCGCGTCCCCAGGCCACAGGACAAGCGCGGCCCAGAAACTCCTGTGGGAAGTGAGCGCGCCCGCTGCCCCGTGGCTCCTCTCCGGAGCGGGAGCGCAGCTGGGAGGGGGCCCCGCTCTCCTCCCTCCTCAGTTCCCGTGACCGCGACATCCTGCCGGGTGAAGCGCGCAGTGACAGCCAAAGAACGAGCAACGGGAGCAACCTTCGGGGTTTCTCGACTGGCCTGCTGGTCCCGGTCCTTCGCGGCCGCACGGCGTGAGCCTGGCGTCAGGGAAGGAATGACACGCGCCCACGACGGGGCCGAACGGGACGGCAGGACCGAGGTCACGGAGCGTTTTCGACAGGGAAGGTCTGTGCGGCCCAACTCGCCACGCGGGCCTGGGAAGCAAACAGTCACCGACAGGTCGGTCGTGGGACAGGTCAGTCATGGGGGATGGAGCACGGTGAGGACACCAGCTTCTCTTCTGACCTCCACGTGCCATTCAGCACCCACAGAGCCCCTGACGTGTGGCCGCCCTCACTCTCGGACTCCCTGGGACAGCGCCGTGCTGCCCACCAAGGCCCAGAGGCCCTGAGCAGGGAACACAAGAGCCACATGGCGGGACCACCGGGGTGTGAGCCCCTGCCTCCGACCTCTGCTCTTCCTGTGACTCAGCCTGTATCTTTACGGGCTGAGAAGCCGCCTCACTGGGCAATGGTTCAAGGGGGAGGCTGCTGTGGGGAGACCCTGAAGGGAGCCACTGGGCAGGGATGACTCTCGGGGAGGCTCCCTTTGGTCCTGACCAGTGAGGCCCGGGCCTCTGGGTCCCCTCTCTGGCGCTCCCTCTCCCTCTGCCACTAGCCCGGACCGGCCACTGGATTCCCTGGGCTTGGGCCGCCGGGCCAGGGGCAGCAACGGCCTCCCCGGCCTCCCCAGCCTCTTCCGTCCGGCTCCGGAAATCATCCTGTCTCATCTGGGGAGTCTTCCTGCCCGAGAGGTCTCCAGAGCCCACTTTCTATTTAGAGAGGAAATGGAGCAGAGAAAAAGGCTAATCGACATGACAAAGAATCAAACGGGAAAATCCGGAATGTGGGCTATTACACAGAACCACCCATCCGATCTCTGCAAACTACAGATGGGGAGAAGAAAAGAAAGAGAAAGGACTGCCCTAGAATTAGGGACTGAAGAGACATAGCAACTAAACACAAAGACCTTGGCTCCTAACTTATACAAACCCTTCTTTTAAAAAGGCATTTTTAAAACAATCAAGCTATTCTATGAACTGGGAATCGCCCATGTTTGACTATACCAACAGCATCAGAGTTATCCATAAAACGCCCAAAATATTCAGATGCCTACTAAAGCACATAACCATCAAATGACATTGTCTGACATTTGTCTTAAAATAGTTCCAAAAAAAAAAAAAAAGAGATGAAAATGCAGCCAAGTGTTGAGAGCTCCTGGATCTGGGTGTTGGGCGCACACAGGCTCCCCATATGAGCGTCTCTACTCCGAGAGAGACATGCGAACGTTTTCAGAATATAAATTGTTTTCTGAATCCTTTCTTCCAAGAGCCTGTTCTACAAAAGAAGTAATTAGATTTAACAAGTCCCTGACTAACTGTTTTTACTAAGCTGTGCTTACGTTCCATCCCCTCCTGTGTTCCTCTACTTTTAAAAAAATCCCAATTTCCAAATGATCGTCATGAAAGGATGACCCAGGGCGGGACTTCTGGCAACACCATACACAAGTGGCACGTTCAGGCTGGCTTTTTTTGCACAGTTCCTGCTGTGACCTCTGTCTTTACCAAGAAAAACCATAACTATTTATAGCCACAGGACCTTGGCTGGATTTGCCGGTGACTCAGGAGGGCTCTCTGAGCACCAGTGCTAACCAAGCTTGGGATGGCCGGCCACTCGATGGAGTGGCAGACAAGTCCTCAGGAGATCATCCACACGGCACAACCCCTCCACGGCGCAGCCCTGTGGGCTGGGCCCAGCATGCCGTGTTCCCTGGTGGAGAAACTTCCCCATGCACAGACTCCTTGAAGGAGCTCAACTCAACTTGGGCAAACACTCGAAACTATCCACCTACTACTGGGAACACGCGGCTTATCAAGCCAGGCTCCCGCCAAGAGTCTCCATTACTGGACCCTCCCTGATCAGAAGATACTTCCTACAACCCAGCAGCCAAGGCAGCGCTCAAGAGTTCTCACAGAGGCTGGAGAAGACGTGAGGCTGGCTTCTTTGGAGGAAGAGGGAGCAAGATGGGAGGCGCAGGGTGGGGTGGGAGGCTGCAGATAGAGATCGTGGGACCACTCATTCTCCATACGGCTTCTCCATAGTTCAGTGAAGAGTTTGAAGCCAAAACAGAGTGAAGTAGGCAACCAGCCATCTTCCTGAGCACACAACTCAGTCTAAGAAAGAAGGGGCCGCAGTGAAGCCTGTAACCTAGAGGCATCCGAAATTTCAAGTGATAAAGACACCACTTTGAAAACCTGGTGAATTTTTCCACCCCCTTTCCCAGTTCTAACAGACAGACTTTTCCAGAAAGAACAAAACTTAAAGGGGAAGAAATGAAAGCACATGGGTGTTTTACCAACGCAAAGACATGATTCCCAACGCACCGCAGTATCCCCTGCATCCTCCCAACCTGGTCAAGGAAGCCGGCCTCTTCTGATTCTTACTGCGTCAGATCTTAGTGGCCAGCAAACATTTGTAAAACTGAATCAATCTTCTGCTAACTATTTCAAAAGTCCCAGTAGTCTCCCTAGTTGGAAGCATCGCAAGGTCAAGGTTAGGGGGTCAGGAACATTTTGTGGACCTGACGGACAAACAGAGTCAATGAGAGAGGACTGGGGTTTATTTTAAGGGCAGGTCTCTGTGCTACCTGAGAAGATCAATAGGGCAAAATGTGCCTCCAGGGAACAGGGACCCTGCCTGGGTGGGGGAGGGTGCAAGGGAACAGGGACGGTGTCTCCGGCTCTGCAGATCCCCACTGTGGGATTAACAGAAAGAAGGGAGACCTACCACCAGAAGCCCAACTTTCCGTCCAAGAGCAGCAAAAAGCATCTAAAAGCTCCTGGATCTGTGTCAAGGGATCGAGTAATATCTCAAATGTCTGGCAGGAAACCAAAGAGCTACACCCACACATGGGGCCTCCCTGCCTCCAGAACACTAACAGACTATGTACACTCCCAGCTGGGGTGCACTGGTGGGCGTGGAGAGTCCAAGAAGGGGGGGCGCGCACGTGCCCTGCCATGTGACTCCGTTAACGTTCCCAAGTAAGGATGCAGGGTTTGGAGGACATTCCAAGGCAACGGTCTCTTCCAGCCTTAGTCGGAGGCCCCCTGGGCAAGAGGACACACAAACAAGGGCCCGGTTTACCTTCGGAGAGCAGTTGAAATGCATGCCGGGCACCGGGAGGGTGGTCACATACATGGTGATACAGCGGTACAGGTACAGCGTGCCGACGATGCAGAAGAACCTTCTGCTGATGATGGACCTGGAAACACAGGGAAACAGAGGGAAACAGAGGGCACTCAGTCATGGGACTCTGCAGGCACAGCGAGGTTCTCAGGGGCCCGACACACCAAGCCAGCCCCCCAGGGACTCGAGAACCTGAAGTAGGAACGTTCTAAGCAGAGCTAACAGTAGAGTGCCATGGGGGTTGCTGACTGTCTCAGGGTGGGCTGGCCAAAGGAGCATGAAGGGCTCTCCGTTGCCGCTAACGAGGTTTCCTGAGGCCTTACGCCCCAGCTGACGTTCACTGGCTGGGTAAGTGGGGCCCCTTCTGAGTCATCCCAGCCGACTCCGTACCTGCGCTTCAACAATGACAAGGTAGAGTGTGTTTTCAGTCATAAAAAGGGAAGAGGCTCAGAACACGAAAATGGCATTATAGTGAGAATTCACAATTTATCTGACCTTGAATGAGTCAAGATCTCTGAGAAAGTATGAGGTCGGGAAAGGAGCCCGTCTGGTCAACAGTAAGTGACCTCCCACCTCTCTCCAAGTGGGAACTCTGTAGCTGCGGGACAGGCCACTAACCAAGGGGCCCTCAGTTTCTGAATCCGTAAATGGGGGACTACAACAGTAGAGATCACATATGGAAAATTCCAGCCTCAAATGTCTAGGTTACGTGTATGAGTCACAAAATAAGAAAGAATTAAAAATCTTTCCAATTTCAGCTGATGAGTCATTCCAATGAAATTATGTGACAGACACACGTGAACAAGCCTGCCTTCGGTAACTTAGCCTCCAGTTCCCTGTTGGTCAACTAGATTAAGTTGTACTAGCTTCGGGGGAACCTTGGACAAAACATTCCCTCCCTTTCTACTCCTGCCCTGTTCTTCGTCAGTCCTGTGGGCTCCTCTCTCTCAAGTGGGAGGAGTTCTCCTGTTTCCTTGGCCTGGGGCAACCTGAGTTCGATATACAAAAAAATCTTAGAAACAACAGACAGGCTTTTCTCTGAGATACTGAACATTTACTCTGTAAATCACAGGGCAGAACGGACATTCCTACTGAAATCCAAGTTTGGAAGAGAGCTGGTATCACCTGCATTTTTTAACAAGAGGAACAAAGTAACGTGTCAGTTGTGTGAATAAAAAATTTAAGAAAAAAGAGGAGACGCCTGGGTGGCTCAGTCGTTAAGCATCTGCCTTCGGCTCAGGTTATGATCCCAGAGTCCTGGGATAGAGTCTGCATCGGGCTCTCTGCTCAGCGGGGAGTCTGCTTCTCCCTCTGCTTCTCCTGGGCCCCCCATGTGCTCACTCACTCTCAAATAAATAAATACAATCTTAAAAATATATATTTTTTAGTACCCCCTGCATTTCCTTCCTAACTGCAGCAGTTAAAGTGGGTTACTTACAATGTATGGATAGAGCTCAGTGGTGGTGTCCCCCCACCCAGATTTCTGAAACTGGGTCAGACCTGCTCACCATAGAGGCATCACTGTCTCCTAGCAAAGCTGTGCGCGCCACCTCTGAGGACAAGAATTAATTCAGCATACAGCTGTCTTGTGAAGGTATGTACCTTTAATTTTAAGTATGACAAAAAGCACAATACAATGAAACAATACGAAGAAGAACAATGCTAGAGAGTAATACTAACCCTGTAATGTCTGACCAAGAATACTCCAAACACCAAAGTGAATTTTCCATTGTGAGATAGAAGGGTCATCTCTCTTCAGAAGGAAATGCCCTCTCTTACCCCTCCTGCCCGTCCAAACACATTATTTGCAATTTCACTTGAACCTCACAAGAAAGATCTAAGACAAAAAGCGGTTACGTTTATCTGGATCTATTATCTCTTCAGAGAAAGAAAAACAAGGTGACCACTATCAGCCCACTTGGGCGAAGATTACAATTAAGATTACAAAAAATTTTAAAAGTAACAAACGCGGAAGATTCAGCCACAATTACTCTACGACTTGATGTAAAAAGTCAAGTGACTTTATCATGTGCTTTCATCAATATTAACAAGGTAAGTTGAGAGCGGCTGTTTGCAAGAATGTTATCTTTGGCATTTACTTAATCTTTTAAACATTAATCTTAGAATAGCTTCAATATATAATGTTAAACCAGGATCTCCTCGCACAAGCTTTAAAAAAAGTAGGTTATAAAAGTGTTTCGAAGAATTGTACGCACTTAAGGCATTTTCTTCATCAAAGATTTCATGCATTACAATTTTTACTTACTCAAGAGGTTTAAAAGTTCAAGATGGCGTGTGCTGGCCCCAGCAGCACATAGACAAAAATTGGGATGATAAAGGAAGACGTGTTTTTTTTGTTTTTTGTTTTTTTTTTTAAAAAGGGTTAAAAGGGTTAAAATTTTTAAAAATGTGACAAGGCAACAAAACGCCAGAGAAGACGTGTTAATGAGATATTATGAGAGATGAAGTGAATGCCAAGGGCAGGACGCCGCTGTAATTCTTAAAACCACACTGGGGTTCTCTGACATGGGGTCCACTCTCCTTTCACGCTGGAAGAAGCCTTCCCCCCAGCCCCTCACACTGTCCAATGACCCGGACCCTGGGGGAGACTTGCACTTGGCCTCAGTTATCTGTCTTGCAAAGATTTGGGTAGTACGTTCTTAACTACTTTTCCTGAGAGAGGAAAAAAAACCCTTATTTGTTAAATATGATTATAAGGAAACATGAGTAAAAGTGTTACTATTTTTTTTTTTTTTAGATTTTTTTTTTTTTGGCCAGACAGAGAGAGAGCAAGCAAGTGAGTACACACAAGCAGGCAGAGAGGCAGGCAGAGGCAGTGAGGGAAGCAGGTTCCCTGCCGAGCAAGGAGCCTGATGCGGGACTCGATCCCATGACCCCGGGATCATGACCTGAGCCCAAGGCAGCGGCTTAACCCACTGAGCCACCCAGGCGTCCCAAAGTGTTACTATTTTAAAGATAGCTATGAAAGACTCGTTAGAAGAACATGTTATGGGGCACCTGGGTGGCTCAGCTGGTTGGGCGACTACCTTCGGCTCAGGTCATGATCCCTGACTTCCAGGATCGAGTCCCGCATCGGGCTCCCAGCTCTTTGGGGAGTCTGCGTCTCACTCCGACCTTCTCCTCTCTCATGCTCTCTCTCACTCATTCTCTCTCAAATAAATAAATAAATAAATCTTAAAAAAAAAAAAAAAAGAAGAAGAAGAAGAAGAACAACATGTTATGGCCAGAACGGATGACTTTATTAAACGTTTTAACATCCGTATTTAAAAAGGAGAATGTGCTCAAAACCTGATTAAATACTACCAAAACTAGCAGTAGGATGTTGTTTTTGGCGTTTGGCACAATGGTCTAAAATTCTAAAGAAAAAGAATGGTGGAAGAAATAACCACAACCACGCTACTGTGTAAAATTTAAGTACTAGAAAGTTCTTTCGTTTCCCACAAGTTGTCTCTTGCAACTACTCCACAGCCGGAAAGCATAGAGTAATTCTCTCAGAGCTCAGACCTGGTCGGCAAGCTCTTTATGGAAGCTCCTGGCTTTGGGAAACACACAGGCCCTGACACACAGCAACGGAACAAAGCAGTAATCCTAAACCCAGAGGCAAGAAACAAGAGGGAGCGCACGTAACGGTGGGCAGAGAGTCAGGGAGACCCCCGGCTCTGGCACAGTCATGGAAGCCAGGGCCCCATTCAGGTCCGGGGACCAGCTACAGCCTTGGACCAGGCACGGGAGCGCATCGCCACACGGGCACTAGCTCCACCTCTAACAAAGGCTCACGCGGTGACCTGGGCAGTCCTGATTACTTTCCTTGGAACTCTGCTTCCTCGCCAGCAAAAGGCTGCCTCACCTCCTCCTTATGAATCAAAGAAATGCTAAGGAGGGGTTTTTCCAAGCTGTTATTAACAGCAGCTAGGGTTCTGCCAAATTTCTCCTCTATGCTGAACACTGTGCCATTTAGTCCTTAAAGTCACCTGCAATGCAACGTGACCCTGTTTCACAGATGGGAAAACTGAGGTTCCGGGTGCAAGCTGCCATATAAATGTATCACACAACACAGAAAGACTCAGGAAATGGTGTCAGACTGTGAGGAAATCCCAATTTTACCTGAGACAATACCGTGTGTACTTAGAGATGAGCTGACATCCTAACACATTTAAGTTATGTTTAAAAATTTATTTAAACTCAGGGGTGCCGTGGGTGGCACAGTCTTGGCACAGTCAGTTAAGCGTCCGACTTTTGGTTTCAGCTCAGGTCACGACCTCAGGGTCGTGAGACCAAGCCCGGCATCAGGCTCCAAGCATTCTGGGGAGTATGTTTGGGATTCTCTCTCCCTCTATATCCCCCTGCTCACAGGCATGTGCTCTCTTTCTCACATAAATAAAATCTTTAAAGGAAAATCTATGTAACTCAAGATTTTTCACTCTCAGTGTTGTAGGTCGTATTTAGTATGGCACAACTCTCCAAAATAAGAATTTTGATACTACTTCAATAACTGTGTTAATTATGAAAGTACTGAAACAAACCCTTCTAGATCGCTATCATGAAATGTGCCCACTTCCCGTCACTGTTTGCAGACCGCGCTCAGCTGCGCTTATAGCCCGTGTCTACTTGGTCCATCCGAAATGGCAGCCACACCTCAGTTTCTATCTCACCTGGACTTCTCCTTCTCCCACCTGCTGTCCCTAATTCCACCCATGCCTCCCTAAAATCCATTCCACACAGACCAGACCAGCATCAGTTTTTGGAAACAGATAAACAGATTGTGTCCTTTGAAACCCTTCAATGGGGGCACCTGGGCGGCTCAGTCAGCTAACCAACTGCTTTCAGCTCAGATCATGATCTCAGGGTCCTGAGATCGAGCCCCACGTTGGGCTCTCTGCTCAGCGGGGATTCTGCTTCTCCTTTTCCCTCCACCATTCCCCTGCTTGTGCTATCAAATAAAATCTTAAAGAAAGAAAGAAACCCTTCAATGGTTGCCAAATGTACTTTATTTTTTCTTATTTTTTTAAAGATTTCATTTATTTATTTGACAGAGATCACAAGCAGACAGCGAGG